ACAAAAATGGGATCCTAATTAGAGTAAGTTATACTCCACGTACGTGTAATATGTCAAAATACACTCTACTATCATGTATATCTAAAAAGAACAAATTTTTTTAAAGTGTGGGGGGGAACCTGATGCTGACACCCACCTCTCCCCACCATTTCAAAAGAGGAAACCCCACAGCACAGACATCAGGAGGAATGAAAAAGAAGGGAATGAATTCTGGAGTACCCTACCATTGAACAATATTCCCCCAAACCTTGATATTTTTTGAGACGAGGGCTTTTTAAGTTTTGCCAGGCTAGCCTCAAATTTGCGATCCTCCTTCCTCAGTCTCCTGTGTAGCTGGGATTACAAATTGGTACTACCATAAGTACGACAGATGCTAGAGAATGATGAACTGTCATTTCTCTAAATGACAAGCTAAATCCAAAATGCCTCACAATATGCCATAAGTCCCATGACATGCTATAAACAAAAAGCACTCTCATTTCCTCACTTTTGAGTTGCTCTGAAGGTAACGTCATGGTGCTATTCTCCAATAGCCAAAACCTCCATGTACTATTATTGTAGCCAGTTAGACAAATATTCCACAAGTTGGTGTCAAAGTTCAATATCAAGGGACAGACAACATCCTCACTTACTGCAAGCAAAGCCAAAAGTATTTAGAACCCACCACACACACTTCCTATACTGGTATTCCCACATTTATAGAGGTCTCATCATCCTCCCAGGCTTTACCTATTCCCACTTCAACCTGCCCTACACATCCAGTAAGTGACTAGGTCCTATGTATTCCAGTGCAACAGGTATAACCATTTACTCCTCTTGTCCAGATCAACTGACCCAAAAGGATTAAATCTTCATTACCCTTTCCCACAGATTTCTACCACAGACCTATTGGTCTTCCCTGTTTACAGGTCATCTCTTTGGAAACTACTAGAGTAACATTTCTAAAATCAAAGGTCAGATGAAAATCAAAGGTCAAATGAATGCTCCTCAGTAAAAAATTTCCATTAATTCTGTGCTGCCTATAAAACAAATTCTTAACTTCATAGTGTAACCACAAACCATCTCTCCAGTCTCACTCTGGTCATCCCCCTAATATATCCAGTACTATATTAAAGACAGTTCATCATTCTCTAGCATCTCTCATACTTATAGTTGTACTGATTTGTAATCCCAGCTACACAGGAGACTGAGGAAGGAGGATCCCAAATTTGAGGCTAGCCTGGCAAAACTTAAAAAGCCCCCATCTCAAAATAAAAAATATCAATGTTTGGGGGAATATTGTTAAATGGTAGAGTACTCCTGAATTCAAACTCTAGTACTGCACAAAAATTTAAAAACACCGCTTTGAAGACCAAAAGCTCAGCTTTGCTACTTTCTTGCTAACTTATATAGAGTAAGCCAATCTCCTTTCTGAGACTCAGTTTCCTCATCTGTAAAATGTATATTCTTCACCTTTCAGACAAGACTGTCAGAACTATTTAGTAAAATAAAGAATGTCTAAATGCAGTAAAGGGAAATTAATTGTTTTAAATACTCATATTAGAAAAAGAAATTTGAAAATTAACAATCTATGCATATGCTTAAGAGTTTGAAAGTCAAAATAAGCCCAAAAATGTAGACAGAAAATTATAAAGTAGAAATTACAAAGAAAATAAACACAACAGTGGATATTACAAAAGCCAAAAGACAGTTCTTTGAAAGGAATAATATTGTTTAGATGTTTATGTAAACTATGACAAAAATATATATACAAGAAAGCTATTGTTATCCAACAGAGATGAAACTTCAAATAAAATGGGTTGAAGTAACAGTTTTCATTTTGAAAGGGTTTCTCACATATTAGTACCCATTGACATTTGAGCCAGATAATTGTTGGAGTGGGTATTGAGGCTTTCTTATGCATTGCAGGATGTTTAGCAGTGTCCCTGGTCTCTACCCATAAGACACCAGTAGCATCCCCTCCTCACCCCCCAGGAATCATGACGAGCAAAATGTCTTTACCAAATATTGTAAACCATCTCCTGAAGGCAAAAATCATCCCAAGTGGAAAACAAAAAGCCCACATTATACTCTATCAGCTAAGACCAGATTTTCAAAGCCATTCATAAATTTTTCTTTCTTTTTTTTTTTTGGTGTATGGTACCAGGAATTGAATTCAGGGTCACTGTCCCACTGAACTACATTCCCAACCCTTTTTATTTTTTATTTAGAGATAGTATCTCACTAAACTGCCCAGCCTAGCTTAGAACTTAAAATCCTCCTGCCTCAACTTCCTAAATCACAGGGATTACAAGCATGTTTAACCATACCCAGCCCTATTTTTAGAACAGTTGGCTGCTTTGTCCATTAGGACTGGGGGATGATAACAAGCCAAGGAAGGAAGGACAAGACAGGTGTTTAAGCAAAATTGTACAGACAGTATCTAATGAAATTTTTTTTATCACTCTGGACTTCATAAGTGATAGAAATAAATCATATCAGTGTTTTAAGATTATTTAATCCAAGAATAGAATAAATATTCTTTTATTTAAAAACGCTAATTGCAGGGTAGGGGTGTAACTCAATGGTAGGTACAGCACCTATCTATCATGTGCCAAGGACTTGTGTTTGAGTCCCAGCAATGCAAACAACAAAACCCCAGTTGCATAGCTCTACTATTCTGAGACAAATTACTATTAAATTCTTGCTAAATAAATAATAGTAAAGTCTTCAGAGAGAGAGAGAGAGGATTTTAATCTTTTATTTTTCGGCGGGCACAACATCTTTGTTTGTATATGGTGCTGAGGATCAAACCCTGGCCGCACGCATGTGCTTGAGCCACATCTCCAGCCCCTAACTTCCCATTCTTGAGGTTGTACATGATACAGAGTTACACTGTATATTCACATATGAACATAAGAAAGTTATGTCCAATTCATTATACCATGTTTCCTATTCCCATCCCCCCACCTTTCCCTTCATTCCCATTTGTCTAATCCAATGAACTTCTACTCTTCCCTCTCTTTTTGTGTGTTAACACCAACATATCAGAGAGAACATTCAGCATTTGGTTGTTTGGGATTGGCTTATTTCACTAAGCATGATATTCCCCAGTTCCACCCTCTTATTGGCAAATGTCATAATTTCATACTTCTTTATTTATTATTTTTATTTTATATATATATATATATATATATATATATATATATATATATATATATACACACACACCACATTTTAAAAGCATATAATTTTTTAACAGAATCATCTCTTGGTATCTTCAGGGGATTGGTTCTAGGACCCTCTACAAATACGAAAATCCACAGATGCTAAAGCTCTTATATAGAATGTCAGAGTATTTGCATATAACCTATGCACATCCTCCGATATACTTTAAATCATCTCTGGCAAGGAATGGTGGCAGCACACCTATAATCCCAGTGAGTCAGGAGGCTGAGGTAGTAGGATTGCAAATTTAAGGCCAGCTTTAGCAATTTAACAAGACCTAGTCTCAAAAATAAAATTTAAAAAGGCTGGGGGACTGGGGATATAGCTCAGTTGGTAGAGCGCTTGCCTCACATGCACAAAGTTCAATCCCCAGCACCACAAAGAAATTTAAAAATTTAAAAAAGGTTGGGGATATAGCTTAGTGATAGAACACCCCTGAGCTCAATTCCCAGTACTGTAAATTATAAAATAAGGATTATTTCTAATTTCTAATACAATGTAAATGCTGCACAAATAGTTGTTATATTGTATTATTTAGAGAATAATGACAAGAAAAAGTTTCTGTATATCCAGCACAGACACTTTTTCCCAAAAAAATATTTCTAATCCACAGCTGATTGAATCCTCAGATACAGAATCCATGGATACCCACTGTCATTAAGCTTTTGGCAAGAAGATTCCAAGAAGCCAAGAGGGAGGAGACTCTATTTATATCCATCATACTCACTAGCAGCACCAAAAATCTGATCTGAACCTTACAGGAGTCCTAGGGCTATCTAAAATATAATTCTCAGAAGCTAAATGATAAAAAGCAAAAAACTGATTCAGACACCTGGGGACTCTTTCTTAACACCAGAAAAATGAAAGCCAAAGAAGATGGTGCACTATCACATCATCACTGTCTTCCACTATTTCTACTCCTGCCTTATAAAACAAACAACAGAATCACTTCAGGGGAGACTCCAACTGAATAAGCTAGTAATAGAGAAACTGCTGCCATCAGGGCCAAATAAAACTGAAATGGCCATTTCCCTATTAGAAGTAAGATGGAAACAGAGCAGATATTTGGGCAGTATAACATACAATGACAGTATAAAGAAATTTAATTTGAGCCATATAGAAGCTGTTAGAATGGTTGAATAAAAAATGATGATAGTAACATCAGCAAAGAGAATGGATTGCTGCTCATCTTCCTGGAATCTGAAGAATGGAGCACATTTTCCTATGTTCCTTCAGATTCAAGTGATGATGATCTAATGCAATGTTTAGTTCCACAGCAGGTGGGTCTATTATGATCAGACAAAATCTCTATTCCTCAGTTAGTATTATGAATAACTAAATCCTATATCATGAAAGGCCAGAATTCATTGAAAAGCCATGTAACTGCCCAAATAAGCTAATATTAGATGAAAAGAAAAGGTTCAGCTGGGCACAGTAGTGCCCAACTGTAATCCAGGGGCTTGGGAGGCTAAGGCAGGAAGATCAAGAGTTCAAAGCTAGCCTTAGCAACTTAGCGAGGCCCTAAGCAACAGAAACTTTGCCATTGCTTCACCATGACTAGGGCAAATGCACCTTACCTTTCAATCTCTGGACCTGAGCTCTACAGTTGTGAAAGATGAGTTAAACACTAAAAGTTTTTCCAATACTAAAACAAGGCTTACGTGGAAGACAAGAATCCAGTTTCTGAGATTCAGCATTAAGAGGTCACATTTGCTAAGTTCTCAGTCTATGTCTTCTCATATGGATGACCTAACACTAAGCTCCCACAAGCAAAACTTTCCTTTACTACTCACCATCCAGCAGGTCTTCCTCATCATCCCTGTCATGCTCCTCCACTGCCACCTCCTCCTCCTCCTCCTCCTCTTCCTCATCATCCAGCTCCACGTCCGGGTCCAGGTCTGGATCGCTCCCTGAGGCGGATTCGTCTGACATGGCTCCCAGTGGTACTCAGTGTGCATTACCAACTCATGGTCCACTGCAGGGGTCCTTGGAGATGACAAGAAGAATCAGAATCACCAAGGTTTCACTTAGCAGCACAAATCTTTCAAAGAAAAATATACTTAAGATGAATTCCCTAGGGTTTTTCTAAGCAGTAAAGCAAGCTAACCATATCCAATTTCAACCTTCTCTATGATTGTACTACCCAAGACATGTTTTGGCAGCTCTGCCAGCTCGAACTTCTTATGGCTATTTTGACAAGAAAATATAAAGTAATAACTACAAAAACAAAAGCATATACTTCAGAATTCTCATTTATGCTAGGTGCCTATAATTCCAACAACTCAGGAAGCTGAAGCAGGAGGATCACAAGTTTAAGGCCAGCCTCGGCAACTTAGACCCTACCTGTTATGGTTTAGGAATAAGCCCCTCTCCCTGAAAAAACTCAGGTGTGAGACAATGCAAGAATGCTTTGGGGCTGGGATGTGGCTCAAGCCGTAGTGCGCTCGCCTGGCATGCGTGCGGCCCGGGTTCAATCCTCAGCACCACATACAAACAAAGATGTTGTGTCCGCCGAAAACTAATAAATAAGTATTAAAAAATTTAAAAGAATGCTTAGACCTGAAATGATTTCAATTATTCAAAACTATAACCTAATCAGTAAATTGATCCAGTGATGCGGATTAACTGGGAAGTAACTATAGGTAGATAGGGTGTACCTACAGGAAATAGGTCACTGGAGGCTTGCCTTAGGGTTTATATTTTGTTCTTGGTGGAAGAACTCTCTCTCTGCTTCCTGTTTGCCATGTCCTGAGCTGCTTCCCTCTACCACATCCTTCTGCCATGATGTCAAGCCTCACTTTGGACTCAGAGATATGGTATGGAGTCAGCTGACTGTAGACTGAACTTCTGAAATCTTTTCCTCCTCTAAGTTGTTCTCTTCAGGTCTTTGGTCATAGCAACAGAAAGTTGACTAGAACACTCTCAAAATAAAAAGGGTTGCAGATATATAGCTCCGTGGTAGAGTATCTCTGGATTCAATCCCCAGTATCAAAAAAAAAAAAAAAAAAAAGCTGAGGGATCCCATTTGTTCATTTCTTACTGCATCACCCATTTCCTGTGCACCAACTCACTGAATCCATATTATCTACTCATATACATATATTTATAATCACAAGCACTATTCTAGTCACAGCAGGAAGAACAAAGCATGTAAAGAATGTGAAGGACTGGTGTATACCAGGAGGAGCTGCTTTTTTTATACAGGGTTAGCTGAGAAGTTCTCACTAAGCAGAGGCCAGAAGGAAGCAAGGGAGCCATAGAGACATATGGAAGTATATGATCCATACACCATGAGCAACAAGGGCTGAACCCTGGAGGGAGGCTGACTTGGAACACTCAGGAAAGAAGGAATAGGTCAGGTCTGGATAAGGGCAGGGTCTGGCATTAAGCCCTACAAAGAGGGCAGCTCGTTGTCCAATTACCCGAAAGAAAGGCTTCCAGTGAGCAGCTAGCATTTCACCACATTGTCACTTTTCCCAGACATGTAGAGAACCTCAGGTGTGAACCTCTGTACATTTGTTGTTCTCTGGTTCTTCCCTACTTCTTGGCCCAGTTCCATTCCATTTCTTCCCAGAAGCCTTTGTAAAGTGCCCTAGATTTCTGGTATTATATGCTCTCTTCTGAACTCCATTAGCCAGGCCATCCCACATTATTAATCTTCAATGAAGGACTCATATGGGCTACTTGGCAAAACGGTGTACTTTCTTTGTTCTTACCTCCTGACCCAACAGTAAACCTCTAAGGGGAATGATTTAAATGGGAATTATGTGTTTGTATCCTACAGCTAGAAGTCTGTAGTAGATCCAGGTTATTCTCCCTCATTTACCAACCTGCTGTACTCTGTCTACAACATATCAAAAATTATGTATGTGTATCTACTTCCCTCCTTCCCTATCCCCTTTCTCATCACTTTACTGTTAGCTGATTAGCTGTAATGATCTTTTTTTCTTTCTTTCTTTTTCTTTTTTTTGGTATTGGGAATAGAATACCAGGGACACTTTACCTCTAAGCTATACCCCTAGCGATTTTTATTTTTTATTTTGAGACAGGGTCTAGCTAAGTTGCTGAGGCTGACAACTTGCAATCCTCCTGCCTCAGTCTCCCAAGTCCCTGAGATCACAAGTGTGCAGCCACTGCAATTAGCTTAAGGTCATGTTTTTTCTGGGGTAGGAAGGGGACAAAGTAAAGAGATGTCTAGGTGGACAGTTCTATGTAAATATAAATAAAAATGTTAACTTATGGAGCCACTGATTCTTTCAATTTTTCTGTATATTTCCAAGTTTTCATAATAAAAGATAGGGAGAGGACAAGGTAAATAATCTTTTACAAGATAAACTGCTGCAGACAACCACATAAAAAAAATCAGGTCACCCTCAAATGACTCCCATCTCCCAAAATAAAAACTTAAGACAAGTCTCTAATTATTAAACACAAAACTTGTTCCAGACTGAAATTTCTTATTAAGGTTCAGAGTAATTTGCAAAAAATTTGAAACAGAACTTCTATCTTCTGAACAGAGAGAGAGAGAGAGAGGCGGGGGCGGGGGGGAGGAGAGGAGGAAGAGGAGGGAGGGGGAGGGGAAACAACAGAAGTTTCTGGGGTTATGAACCTAGCAGAGATCTCTCCAAGACAATGCTGTCTTCCTTTAGGATTCTGGAAAAACAGAACTTAAGTTTAGGACTGCTCAGAGTTAAAAATAACAGAAATTAAAATTGTGTGCATTTCTAGATGGGTCATGTACTTTGCCTCTCAAAACAACTAAAGCAAAGAACAGCTGAGCAGTGAGTTGGTAATAAATTTAAAATTTTTCCATTTATAACTCACATCTAAAAACATCTGCAAAGAGTATTAAGGGGCAGGGAAGAAAAGTGATCCACAAATACAAAATAGTGTAACATACTGAGCTGTCCTCCACTTAATGACCAGGCAAATACCTGTAGGAATGACTATACTGTGCCTTTTCTTTTATTTAGTAAGTTTCAAAAGGAAATAATAGAGAGCCCAGCAAGGTAGCACAGGCCAGCAATCCCAAAGACTCCAGGGAGCTGATTCCAAATTCAAGGCCAGCCTTGGCTACTTAGTGAGGCCCTAAGCAACTTAGAAAGACCATGTCTCAAAACTGAAGATAAAAAGGGCTACAGATGTAGCTCAGTGGTAGAGCACCCAGGGTTCAATCCCCAATACAAAGGAAAAAGGGGTAGGGAGCAATTTAAAAAAAAAAATCAGCAACTTTGGGATTGCTGGCGTGTGCTACCTTGCTGGGCTCTTTATTATTTCCTTCTGAAACTTACTAAATAAAAGAAAAGGCACAGTATATTTGGAAGTGAAATTGACTTCTCCACAGCCACAGTAAAATATCTGAATACTCATATATCCTCTGGATATAAATGTTCAAAATCTGCATTACCTCTATTTCATTCCATACTGCTTGAGAAACACAGTAGGTGTTTTCCTTACAGTATGCTTGGCTGATTATGAAGTGGCTTTTAAAGAATAATTAATTATCAGGTACCTTTAAGTAATCTGAAGGCCTGTCATTCTAGAAAAGAAATTGTGTGGTGGTAGAATGACAATCATTTTGAGGTAAACACTAACAAGGACCAGCCTTCCATATAACCCCAGTTAACTAACTGCTTTAAAGCTCCTGATAGAAGCAAACATCAATTAAACATCCAATAACCACACATACTATTACAATGTAAGAGATATGGGTCCAGTCCCCTACTCAAAACATTTCAAAGTAGTAGACACTTTAAAATAGTACCCAATGGGAATGAGGTTTCATAACAGGTACCAGAATACAGTTACATAGGAGGAATAAGTTCTAATATTCTACCAGTACAGAAGGGTGACCATAGTTAACAACAATTTATTAAAGAATTGGAAGAAAGGATTTCAAAGGCTCCAAATGCAAAGAAATTATAAATGTTTAAGGATAGGGAAATACTAATTACTCTAATATAATCACTATACCTTGTACACATGTACCAAATTATCATAAATATGTACAATTATTATGTCAAATTAAAAAATAAAAAAACACAAAAATAGTACCCAGACTATTATCATATGCTCATAACAGAGAAGAGATTAAAAAGCAAGGAATTTCTTCAATCCTATTAAATTTGGTTTTTCTCTTTCCCTTCCTTCCACAAGCCATTAAATTTCTTTACAGAGAAAACAAAGTGAACTCTCTTCTCAGCTCTTCAAATTCATAACTCTCTAAAGGATAGGTTTTGCTATTACTGATCTTCAAAAAGGCAACAAAGAGAACATGACAAAGGAAAATCTGGTCTTAGTGGGTAGCAGAGTTGATTACATTCTGTCTCTAAGGGACTTAACCTGCACACAGACATCTGGATGTGGAACCCAGGCTTTCAGAACACAGGGAAGGCAGCCCTGATTCAATAATTAGCTCTTCGTTATGTTAAGTGAAATAAGCCAAACTCAGAAAGTCAAGAGTCATATATTATCTCTCACATGTGGAAATAGAAAGAATAAAGGAAAAGGAGGCAGGTGGTTTACCATGAAAAACTAAGATCAGTGGAGTAGAGGAAAGGGGACCAAGGGTATGGAGGAGGATAAGAAAAGGGAAAATACTGGAGAATAATACTGACCAAATTATATTGTTACATCATGTGCATGTATGAATATGTAACAATGGATCCCATAATATAATTGTATTATATATAATTATAGTACACCAATAAAAATATTAATAAACAAGAACATAGTTCTTAGTATATATGAAGGGGAAGTTGATAAGGAAGAAAAACACATCACCCATTTGTTCCTCATTCCACATGAAATACAGCCTGAATCTGCAGTGCAGAGGGTCTCTGCCTCTAGAATACAGAGAAACTAAGAGAGTGATTATGTGTATGTGTACCTTAATGAAGACCTGTGTTCTCATAAAGCAAATTCTGGGAATCAAATTCTATTTTATTTTTTTAAAGAGAGAGAGAGAGAGAGAATTTTAATATTTA